ACTTGATTTCTATTGACTGAAATAATTTGAGAAAAGTGTAAAAGTGTCTTAGGCCTAAAACGCATGGGCATTTGATTGGTTTTAAAATGGTTGTTATTTATAAAAGTAAGTTATTATACATGAAGATAAAATATCACCAATATTTTTTCTTACTAATATATAAAGCAAAGTCCCAAAAACCGTTGTAATCACTAAACACGAAAATTACATTACCGATTTAATTAAATTTTTCATACTGATTCTTGACATTTCCTAGATTGTTTTTACACAGTTTTTTTTTTCAAAAAAATTAGTAACAATAGCTTTAAATAAGCTTAAAACTATGCAGTAAAAACCCTAGCTTTGCACTCAAGTTCAATAGAATTCACTAGATAGCGTCAAAGAAAAATTGATGCTACCTACAATCAAAGTCAATGTACACAGTAAAAAATATTGTAGAAAAATTACTACGCTACGCATTGGAAAAAATCCGACCAATGCTAGACGTAGTATATTAACTATGAAAATAGCTACAATACTTTTACAATAGAAAAATTACTACGTGAATAGTAATAATTAAGAAGAAAACTTGTCTATAGTATATTTACGACAGCATTAGAGAAAACATACTATCAGTTTTGTAACTTTCCAGCCAGGTGGCGTACATGTTCATTTTTTCAGTGAATACACTACGTTCGTAGTAAAAACTACGAACACACTAGGAATGGTTGAAACGAGTTACATTTTTAGTGCTATAGTAATTTAAACAGGGGGCTCATTTAAAAATGAAATAATGTCTTTTACAACGTATAAACTTTTATTTAGTGCTGAAAATACTTGCACAGTGTTTATATTAATTTTTTATTTTATAATTCAATCTTTGGCCATGCTGACGACGAGGTTATGTGGAACAGAATTATGCATATGGTGCACTAGTAATAACATTGCAATCTTACTGTATTTATTTGCTGCATGAAACTATAACTTAATTAAACATTAGGAACGACAATTTAGTTGAACAATTTGGAACTGACACGAAAACCAGAGCTTCAATACACAAACAGCACTACGACATTTTTTCGATTATTCCAGCGCCTGCAGATTATGCAAAAATGAAATTTCAATAGAAATCAACGAATTTCACTTTACTACGCTGATAGTGTTTTTACAATTCTACAAGTAATATATAACTACAAAATAGTATTTTACCCAATGCAATAGTTGTGTATTATACTACACGGCGTCGTAAAATAACTACGCTACGCATTGGTCGGATTATTTCCAACTCTAGACGTAGCAAAATTACTACCATCGTAGTGAACTTACTTAAAAATTAGCATTAATACTAGCCGCTTGTAAATTTACTTCGTCAGACGAGGTACAGTTACTATAGAAGAGTGGTAATTTTACTAAAAAATTTTTTACTGTGCACTGTTCATAGGTTCACAGCAGACTGTACACAGCGTTGCTAAAGTAGATCCCTGCTCAGCGGTAAATTCAAATACTTGTATGAAAATTACGTATAGTAGTAATCGAGTTCATTATCAGCAATACATTTATTAATTATTTATTAACACTAGGAATCATTTTTACTATTTCTATGTTCTTCATAGGTGGTAAACAAGTATAAACTGTGAAAAAAGTTTAGTTCTTTAATAAGAATCAAGCAAAAATAAGTAATGATTTGTAATCCAAAGATGATAAAAAAATTTCTACGGGTATAATAGCATTCTTTTAAATATTTTGCTAGTTATTCCAGATTATCAAGAACTATGTTATTAGAAAAGCAATTAGTTATTTCATGAGTAAATAATCAAGCTACCGCGTATCGTTTGATTCACCATAGTACATAATATTTGACAGTATCCTTTTTTAACTCGTAAAATCGATTTTTTTTATCGGCCTTTGAATACAAAAACAATTTTTTGTGTGCACATTAATCACAATAATTCGCAGAAGCGATGTTAAGTTGAATAAGAGTACTTGTGGTATAATCAATATGTTGGAGAAGTCGAAGTTTTTCCAAAAGTTTTTGTACGTAAAACTCCATGCAATATGGAAAACTTGACGTTTTAAAATCGATTTCATAACTTTGCAAGCCAAAAGTTGTATCTAGTAACACTGTTTCCAGTTTTCTAGTATTAATAACTGATACGCCAAACTGTTGTATAAAATATAAAAAACGGATATCGTAATTTTTTTATTTTGAATGTGTAAACGATTTGTGATTTATTTAATGTATATTATATTATAATAAGTACTAATATATAAGATTTTTTTAAAGACGACATGAAGAAAAACGTATAACTAAAGTAATGAAAATTTGTTTTTTTGTTTTTTTTTTTTTTTTATTTACGGTAACCATGGGCTCGGTAACTACGGTAACAACAAATGTGTTATAAGTTAATACTAATTAAATTAATGGTGCATGTAATTATTTGTAACATGTCAAACTTTCCTAATCTTTTACTTTTGTTAAATAGTAAATTTTATGGGGCATTGTAGACACGTATATAACCTCACAAGTAAAGTTACCAGCAAGATGAAATGGTAAGCGATAAAGTTAAAAAAACGACTTTAACACTCGCATTTTTTCGTCACCTTTATTTTCTTTTTCTTCTGTTTTTTTTTTTTTTTTTTTTTTTTTTTTTTTTTTTTTTTTTTTTTTTNTGAAGCTGAAATGAAAAATAAAAAAATTTTTTTTTTAAGCCCAATGACAGCAGTAGCAAACGCAGCGTTTTACAAAAGTGCTTTGGCACTTCTATCCTTACATTTTATTTATTTACTTCCCTTTTTCGTAGGAAATTCGATTTGAATCTAGTCAAAGGAAAATCAGGTTATCATAGAAACTTTATACTTATGACTCTACGTTGATCTTTTGAAACGTTCAAACCAAAAGGGACTTGTTAAAGGATTCGATGAAAATTTAGGAAGAAGGGCAAAATAATTATATAGATCACTAGGTATGTTTTTTTTGTAGTCGAAATTAGTTGGTGATAAGAAATTTTAAGAGAGACTGAAGCTAGACGTGCTGGGTGTAAAGCATTTAATATTGACGTAAGTGTCTTATTTGGTGGCGTTGCGGTATGATATAATAACTTGTAGCGGTTGCTGCATTAGCTCATCGACTATGTATACGTATAATGTATGTTAGGATACATGTATGTGCCCCATAGCTTTCAAGCCCTAGATGAGTTTTATAATGAAGAACATCAGTGGAACCCTTTGGGTTGATTTTTTTTTTCAAAAATAGTGGTAAATAGCAAAAGCATTAATTAGATATTCGTAAACAAATATATCGAAGAATCATCACATGTACCCAGTGTTTTTGTGTACGTGTTGACGAAATTAAGGCTTTGCAAATGCGTGAGTGATATATCTTTTGATTATATATTTTCTGAATTCCCATCGATTTCGTCAATATTTTTTTATCTAAGTACATACTTTGTTAGTATTAGAAATTACAGTTTCATTTTAAGAGATTATTTACAGTTCTATAGTCAATATTTTCTGTATTTTAGGATGTTTTTTAAAAATACTACAATTCTTTTTTTTTGTTTCACATGCATACGCCTGTCGCCTCACCTGATGACAAAAATGATAGCACATCAACATGAGTTTTCAAATTTTTCGAACAAATGCTCTTATGAAAAAAAAAGTTTGTTTCAGACAAAGACTTTTTGTAAAAAAACGAATAAATTTTTTTATTTAAATATGTGATCGAACCTCCAGCGTGAATCGCTTCAAAGACTCTTGAGTTACACGTGAACTCGTGAACATGCTATGTACAACATGTAAATTGTTCACCAAATTTTTATAAAAAAACTTCCTTGTAGATACTACGTTATATACTTTACCATCGTATACCTTTGAGATTCAAGTTTAGAATAGAAGTTTCATCTAATAGTACACACATTTTTATTTTTTCAGTATTACGACGCATAATTACTTTTGTCAAGCCAACGTTGCCAAGAAGCACATCTACGAAACTTTCTAACCAGACACACAGACAAAAGTCGTTACTATACTACTACAAACGTTACTACTGCTCATCGCAACATCGCAAGCAGATATGGAAATAACCTTATCTATTGTCATATCAGTTTGAGTCTTAAAGTGTACACGACGACGCTTTTTATGTATCCACGAGACATAAAATTTTAATACGGTGAGTAGATATTCCTCTTTGTAGTGGTATGCAGTATAATAGTACAAAGTCTATTCATTTACACAAGTTTCTGTTTTAATAAGTCAAAATAAATTTGTTAGTTCGTGAAGGTACAACGTAACACGTACCTAGAGAGCAGATTAAATTGAACCATAAGACTTGATGCAACGTGCACTTGGACAAGGGAAATAATTGTTTTCAATTGTTGACTTGAAATCTAGACGCAGAAATAGTAAGTTTTTCATTTAAATTCAAACTATTAGTCTTTATTTTATGAAACACAATAATAAAACCTCTGAATGCAATCCATACTTAGAATGTGTGATGTGACATGGGGATTTTTTATTTCAACATTGTTTTTTCTTAACATTCTTGGATTTTATATTACAGAATTACAATGAGTTAAGCTGTTATTTTAATTTTAGGCCTAATCGTTCAATATTCATTTGATTGCAATTGATCGAACAGAAAAGTTTTGCATTTACTTATATAAACTGTCAAAAATCTTCTTGGACTTTTTCTTTAGTAAATAATATATGATTTATACATCAAATCAAATTTTACACTATATTACAAAAACATTAAAAACAAGAAAATAGTTTGTTTAACAGCGAGAATTGAAAATAAATTAACGAATCAGTTCTTTGTTAGAGTTTGTGTTGAAATACCTAATTAATTTTATTGATACATTCGTAGGTGAGAAAGTAGTGGATCCAATTCCTTAACACCAAACAACTGTTACAGTAAAAAAACCGACGAAAACGAAGCTATCCCTTGGATTATTGAAATTTTCTCTTCTTGTTTACCACTCATCTGAGTCCAACTGTTTACAAGGTGTTCAGGGGCCAGAAAGATGGGTCCAACCATGAAAGGAGCACTGAACAATGCCTGTACGAGACTTTGCGAGGTGTGCGGTAAAACTTTTACCAGAGCTGCACATTTTAAAACGCACCAACTTGTTCATACGGGTGAGAAACCGTTTGAGTGCTCAACTTGTTCTAAAACCTTTAGGCGAAAATTTAATCTCACAATACACATACGCACTCACACAGGGGAAAAACCCTTTAAGTGCTCAGTATGTCATAAAGGTTTCACATCTTCTAGTAACATTACAGAGCATATGAGGACCCATACAGGGGAGAAACCCTTTGAGTGCCCAGTGTGTCGAAAAGGTTTTATATCTTCTAGTAACATCACGAAGCACATGCGGACCCATACTGGGGAGAAACCCTTTGAGTGCCCAGTGTGTCGAAAAAGTTTTATATCTCTTGGTGACCGCACAAAGCACATGATAACACACACGGGGGATAAACCCTTCGAGTGCTCAACTTGTTCTCAAGCGTTTAGCAAAAAAATCAATCTTATAACACACATACGGTCTCACACTGGGGAAAAACCCTTTAAATGCTCAGTGTGTCAGAAAGGTTTTACATCTTCTAGTGATGTCACGAAGCACATGCGGACCCATACGGGAGAGCGTCCTTACAAGTGCTCGGTGTGTCAAATGGGTTTTAAATCTTCTAGTAACCTCACATCCCACAGGAGGACCCATACAGGGGAGAAACCATTTAAGTGCTCAGTATGTCATAAAGGTTTTACATCTTCTAGTAATCGCACAAATCACATGTGGATCCACACGAGGGAGAAACCCTTCAAATGCTCGGTATGTCAAATGGGTTACAAATCTTCTAGTTACCTCACATCCCACATGAGGACCCATACAGGGAAAAAACCCTTGGAGTGTTCAGTATGTCAAAAAGGTTTTACATCGTCTAGAAATCTCACAAAGCACATGTGGATCCACACGGGGGAGAAACCCTTCAAATGCTCAGATTGTCCAGAATCCTTCCGTGAAAAATGGAATCTTACGAACCACATGAGCATCCACACGGGGATACTTGATAATAATTGTACCATCTGCCAAAGGCCGTATATCCACCGAAGCAGTCTCAAAAGGCACATGAGAACCCATATAGAGAAAAAACTTTAAGTGCTTAGTATGTCGAACAAGTTTCAGCCAATCCAGTCATATCATGAGGCACGAGTGAGAAGTTCAGAACGTTGATCACAAGAAGTTTTAACACGTATTATGTTTATAAGCATATCAGTATATTGTCTTAAGACATGTGCTGTGACACTAAAAAACAAAAAAGTTAAGGCTTTTTAAAAATGCTTAAGAAACATTTTCTTACTTTTTAGAGAGTTAGGAATTTTATTCAATTTTAATAATTTTTTTTTTTTT